CAAAAGAAATGTATCATTCACGAGTCTTTATGCATTCACATCACATAACTAAACAGAGTTGCAGAAAGAAAATGGTTATCTTCTTGCCTCCACCCATACACTTCTATTCCACCACAATGTACTCAAATATTAAACTAAGGGAAAGCTCTTCTAACTATCATATATATGATAAATTGACTACCTTCAAAAACCTTGTGACTAAAAATACCAATTGATATCTTGTCATTTTTTTACCATGAATTTCAAACTCATAACAAACTCACACCCAGAATCTTTGAATGCACTATCTATTTTCACATTCACAGTCAAAATAGAACACTCAAATGTATCTTTGTAAGATATTCAACCACCCAGAGAGGTTAAGAGTGTTATCACCCATTCACCAATAAAACCCTTGTATCTATTGACATTATTTTTACGAACAAAAGTCCTATTTCACCAAACCTCATCTTCAGGGGGGGCGGGATTGAAACTGAGGAAGTTGAGAAAAGTGTTGACTTTTCAACTCCACATCAAACTGATTCACCTAAATCTGAAACCAAAGCCAGAGAAACTGAGGACAAAGCTATTATGGATTACAAGAGGTTTGAAAAAGTATATTCCAGACATACAAATCCAAACTATGCTTCAGAGCTAATTAAAAAATTTGAACCTAATTAAAAAATTTGAACCGTCTCTTGAAATTGAGGTTAACACAAGTTCACAAAAAAAATCTCCTATGTACCCCATAACCAACTTTGTATCATTCCATAATTTCTCACATTCACACAAAAATTTTATGATCGCACTAAATGATATTAGTATTCATGATAATATTTCCGAGGTCTTATATGATGAGAATTGAAAAAGTTTCATGGAAAATGAAATGCAGACCCTGGAGAAAAACAATTCTGGGAAATCATCGACATACCAATAGAAAAATACCATTCAGCTGCAAATGGGTATTCTCTGTGAAATACAAAGCCAATGGTACACTGGAAAAGTATAAGGAAAGAATGGTAGTGATAGGGTACACTCAGAAGTACAACATTGACTACCAAGAAACTTTTGCAACCGTGCCAAGATGAACACTGTTAGGATCCTTCCCTCCCTAACAGCTAATTATAACGGGCATCTAAAACAAATTGATGTTAAAAATGCATTCCTACATGGGGCCTGGGAGGAATAAATATTTATGGAGATTCCACTACGATTCAGGGAGAATTATGAGGGTGACAAAGTTTGTAGGTTACCTAGGAGCCGTTATTACGTCCTCCGACCGGATGCAGGGGAACATCTGGTCCTAGGCAAAAAAACGCCTGTACCGAGGTGTACCGAGTTTTTTCATTTTTTGCCTAGGACCGGATGTTTCTTGCATCCGGTCAACCGAACCAAATAAAAGCGCGTTACCTAGAGCTTGATTTGGAAGATCTCAAAGGTCATGCTACTAAATGGATATCAGCAGAGCCAATGGGACCACACACTATTCTTCAAGCACTCAAACTCAGGTCGAGTCACATTTTTGTTAGTTTATATAGATGAAAGCATCTTGAATGGGAATGATAAAAAGGAGAAAGTGATTCCAAGGAAATGTCTTGCAAAAAAAAAAATAGATAAAATAACTTGGTATATTGAAATAATTTCTAAGAATTGAGGTTGCCCACTTCAGCAAAGGAATCTTCATTTCATAACAAAAATACATTAGTGATCTTCTTAAAGAAACATGTAAATTAGCTTGTAAACCGGCACCAACACCAATATGACCAAATCTCAAATTAGGGAAAGCTAAAGAGGATCCAGACATATATAAGAGAGCTTACCAAAGACTTGTGCCGAAATTGATCTACATTTCCCACACCATACTAGATATAGCCTTTGTTGTAAGCATGGTTAGCCAGCTCATGAAGAATCCAAAGCAAACTCACATGCAAGCAATAGACAGAATACTGGACTACCTCAAGAGAAATCCAAGAAAGGGGATTATCTTCAAAAGAGAATGTGGAATAACCTCGAAAGCTTATACTGATGCAGATTAAGCAAGATCACCAGCAGATAAACTATCTACCTCAGAATATTACACAGTCCTTGAAAAAAACCTAGTAACTTGGAGGAGCAAGAAACATAATGTGATGACAAGATTTAGTGCAGAGGCAGAGTTCTGAGCTATGGCCTTAGATATATGTGAGTTACTATGGATCAAGATGATTCTAGAAGACCTAAGGATCAAGTGAGAAATATCCATAAAGCTACATTGTGACAACAAATTAACAATCAACATTGCTCACAATCCAATTTAGCATAATAGAACCAAGCACATAGAAGTAGACAAACATTTTATTAAGAAGAAATTAGATAGTGGACTTATTTGTATTTACCATGAACTTGCAAATATTCTTACCAAGAGACTTCGTAACTTTACAAATCTTAGACTAATTATAAAGCTAGGAATGACAGATTAATATTCCCAAGCTTGATGGGGAGTGTCAAGTCCAAGCCGTCTCTTGGCCCTTGATCTAATGGTCAGTATGAGGATCCGTGGGAGACACACCTGGATCACGTCAATCTCCTTCTAGATTTGGGTGGTTGGTTTAGGAATGATTATATTAGGGAAATTATGCATTATTCCATAATTATTTATTATTAAGATATCTTGTATAGATTATAAATAGGGATAACTTTGTGAAATAAATTTAAGCATTTTTCCATCTCCAATTCTCTGAATGTAGCATTGTATCCATTCCTTAAATATCTAGAATGGGTCATTCTTCTGTTTCAAAAAATATATCTATATTTTTTTGAACAATAATTAATTAAATAAAGATAATACATTGCACCACAATGTAAGCTTACCCAATAAGGCCTTTAAAAGGTTTGAATGTATGCAATCAAGAGGTCCATTTATCAAGTGTATGATAGAAGTAAATATGAGTCTCTTTGTCTTCCTTATAACACAATGTTCACAAAAATCAATATTCTCAATCTTGTCACCAGATAACAAGCCTTGTTTCTTAAGCTCCTCAAGTCCTCTTTGGCACATGTGGCCACATCTTGTATTTGCATTTGTTGAGTTTAATAGCTATATTAATTAACAAATATTGAATGATCTTCCAATCAAGGAATGCAATCCATTGTTTAAAATTTTGTTCATAACAACAAATGAGCTTTCTTATACCCTTACCATCCCACTTGCACTCATGAATTCATAATAAAAATTATTTTAGGATTCCTAGTCAAATTAAAATACCTCACTTCATGTAGTTGTCATTTAATGCCATCAAACCTCACAATGCTTACCTTCCTAGTTCTCATGACAATAGAGCATCAACATGCCACCATCAAAGTCTTGTAATGACTCAGAACAAGATTTTTATCGGCACATGTAAAAAGAACAACCATAATCAAGAATCCTGTTCTTATTAGAATCAGATTATGTAATGAACAATACCTATACGCTTTCATATCCCCCACAACAATAGCAATTTGTTATGATAATTTACCTATTCAAGCATCTTCATCTTCATTTATGCCACGTTTTCTTGAAATGACCTTTTTGTGGCAAAAGAGACACTTCTTCTTGACCTTTGACTTGGATCTTGATTGATACATATTTCTGAAATCATATTTCCTTTTTCTTCCATAAATCATAAGGCTATCACCAACACATTCATCCTTTGATTAGCCACGATTTAGTCATTCTTTAGAATTTAAGGTTGATTTTGCTTCTATCATAAAAAAAGTAATATTACCAAATAACATGATATCCACAAAATGTTCATAAATTTTGTCCAAAGAACTTACGAGTGTTATGCAAAGACCCCCATCCTTGATTTCAACTTCAATGCTTTTAAGATCGATCATTAACTTTTTAAAATCATCCAAATTCTTCTTTAGTGACTGAGATTCATCCATTTGCAATTAGCATAACCTATTCTTGATGTATAATAAATTTGTAAGGTACCTCTTCAAATAAATGGATTCAAGCTTTCTCCAAAACTCAATGGCCAACTCCTTAGGAATCTCCCTTAGAACTCCACATCCAAGACTCAAGAGGATTGCACTACGAACATGGTTAATAAGATCTAACTGATTCTTCGCATCCACTTTTTGCAATGTTTGTTCAGCCAAAGCAGCAGCCAAATCTAGATGCTCGAGCATTATCTTCATCATCAATCTCCAAAGAATGAAATCATTTTGCACAAATATCAATTGTGAGAATAAGGGAAGGCTAAAGTATTTTTTCAGCACTTGATTAAAATCCTTACTAAACTCAGGATTTCGCTATTCTTATTAATCTTATTCTTTCCCAAAATTCAACTTTCTTGAATAACCCCTTTCAACTCATCCTTCTTCCTTCTAAACAGTTTAGACTCCCTACAATTCTGAAATTTTAAAGAGATCAACAACCTGCAACAATCTTCTCCCTGAAATTCAAAACAGCGCTATGGGTTTATGGGAACAAAACTTATTATATCTTCTCCCAGAGCGTCAAATTTTTATTAAAAAATACTGATGGCAGACTGAAAGAAAATTCAAGTAAATGCAATGACATGATCCTCGAAGTTGCAGCTGTCCTAGACATATCAAGAGCATGGAATCAGCTTTTGTTGAAGTTTAGATTTCGACTGTTCTGATCGCACTTTGGTTCCTTCATGCATCTTTATGAAAAAAACATTAAAATTTTGAAAACAACGATTCACTGGACCATGAAACCAGGGTCGCACCGAGAGAGGAATCATAATTTTGATATGCTCTTGATAAGAGATAAAATGAATTGCGCTCGACTGTCCATCATTAAGTTTTAATCATTTAGTAGATGATAAAAAATGGCAACATACTGAGTTATTTCAATAGTGGTCACTGGTTGCTAGTAGTACCATCATTATCTAACATGCGAAATTTCTCAACGATCACTAAAAATAGTAGGGAACATACTGAGTTATTTCAATGGTGACAGGAAGCAAAAACTGCAGCCGCATTTAATTCAAAATTATAATCAACTGTAACAGAGAAGCAAAACATACCCATAGGATCCAATGCTGCTCCATTCCTAAACGCGTGATCAAACTGACTCCTCCCATGATCAGCCCATGAGCTGACACGGGACTCTGGGACCTTCTCCAGCCCACGGGTATCCTTCTTCTTGAAACTGCTACTCCCAACTCCAAAAAGAGCAAAAGAAGATGACATCGACGATGCCGACGATGCCGACGTGGAGCAGCCTCCCCCCCTACTTAGGTTGCTGCTCCCAATTCCAGATATCCTGTTCTCCCGGAACGTCTCCTGCGGCAGTGGCCCGGATCTCGTCTTAATGCGATTCAAGCCGTGGGAAGAGGACAGATTCGGAGACAGAAAAGACCCCGAAGTCACCCCTCCCTCCTTGATCGCGCCACCCTTCCAAATTTTACCCGGGGCCGAAGCAGCTGCTTGGGGCGAGTGCTTCGCGGCCTCTTTCCCTTTCTGATCCCTCTCTTTCTCCTTCACCTTCTCTTTCTCTTTTTCCTTCTCCTTCTCCTTTTCCTTCTCCTTCTCCTTTTTCTTCTGCTGCTGCTGCTGGATCTTCGTCGCCACTTCGGTAGATGATCGAGATTTCTTCTTCTCGGATTTGGAAGGGGAAGCGGATGCAGGTGTGCCTGGCGTGCCGGGGCTGCTGGAGCCCCTATCGGGACTGGATGAATCCGAGGGTTTCTTTGACGAGAAGAATCTCCCTTTGAACACCATCGCGCCTTTCCCTTTCCCACAAGAACTCGCTCTCCGATTCTCTTCTGCTTCCTCGCTTCAGTTACCAGTCAATCGTTTCAAGGGCCGAGGTCTGAAGTCATTTCCGGTCAAGTGTGAGCGAAGGTGCGCCGACGGACACGGCGGAAGAAAGGAAGCTGGAAAAATATCTAAAGCACTACAAGAGAACACAAAAAAGACGATTAATCGCCTTTGGATTTGATTTGAGATTTGTGCTGTTATGAGATAATGTAAATGATATTGAGCACGAATCATAAAGCAATTTAAAAGCAAGGATGATAGTTGAACTGGGATTAATCCTCTTCGCCATTAGAGGACGGAGCAACGTAAGGGGACGGTTTCTGAGGGCTTAAATTCGTAATAAATTCGTAATAGAACGTCGGATTGACTTAATGGCACAATTTCATTATTAAAATTAAATTTATTTTTGATTATTTGAGGCCTGACGTCAATTATCCAAATAAATTTATAAGACCGTAATATTAAACAAAATTTCGTATAATTCATTTCCAAAACAAATAAAAAATAAATAAATATGTATAAAAAATTTGGCATCAAATGTATTAGATTTAACTGTTTACATATCAATAATTCTATGTAATTTTAACAATGGATGTAGATAAATGTATCCCGACCTATCTTACTCTATATGATGTGATAAATTATTCTATGTGTATGTCGAACGCCGTCCAGAGATCAATCAGAATGTGTCATATCACACATGCGCTCGGTACAAAGGCTTGGTACCACTCGGTACCGCGGCTCAATACTGCTGATGTGGCGCATTCTGATTGGTCTCTAAACGACACTCTGTGTCTGGTCTCCGCACAAAATAATTTCTCATATAATGGAGTCTTGAATTTTTCTTTATCATGTTATTTGTGGGGTTAGTCGTTCAATTGCACGTTCCCTCGGCATCTTCTTTGTGCGGTCATCTCTGCAATGTTGTTTGATCTTGAAGGAATGGAAAAATCATTATATATGTGCGGTGTCGGGACGCATCCGGAGGTCAATCCGGACACATCACGTCATCCAATACATAGTTCAATGGCTGGCGTGGCACGTCTGAATTGACCTCCGGTGCATCCGGACTCCGCATGTAATAATATCTCAAATGAACGAGTTTGATTTCATGTAATTACTTTGAAAAAGAATGGATTTCCCAAAGTTTTAATGCGTCAACAAATTCATAATTACTCAGTTTTTTATCTATAACCATTCTTATAATTATTCTCATTAATCTGAGAAATGAATCCGTCAAATTCATTGAATTTGTCGCATCAGCATCTCAAATCCATTGGAATCACAACGGTAATATCTACGAAGGTGATGTACTTAATTTATTGAACAAAGACTTTATCTGTGATGATCTTCAAAAGATAATTGTCACACCATTACCGTATGAATTCGACCTAAACATGCAGATTGGGTCTGGTCGAGGGGACCATTCAATTCTCAATTTGAATAGGCCACAATCTGATTCATTTATTGTTGATTTAAATAAACAACATATTAATATAGATTGAATGATGTTCCGTTTTAGAATATTCGAGGCGGTAGAGAGATATAAAGTTTAGTGTCCTAGCTTTGTAGGAAGATACAACGTACAAATAGATGAAATATAGGTGCGTAGCATTTATAAGAGATACGAGAGTTTTTACGTGAAAACTTTGAAAAGGGGGAAAAACTATGGGGTCTGATTCAATTTGAATGAATTCACAGTATTGATGATTGATTACAAATAATATCCATCATCAGAGGAAGATGTTGGCTTAATGCAACAAATACACATTACATAGAGATCGTTACATTGCAGTTATTATTAAAAGAGTGTTGACATGTATGATTGGTACGGTTAGTATGACTGTGGTTGGTGGGCGACGATGATCGGAGGGATTGTACTCGGTGCGCGTGATTGAAGGAGATATACTCAGAAGGCGACGGTGATTGGAGAAACAACACTCGACATGCAACGGTGGTCAGAGGGACTGTAGTCGGCAAGCAGCCGTGGTCAGAGTGGTTCATAGTTGGCGGACAAAGGTGGTCAAAGGCAATGGCAGAGCAAGAAATTTTATTCATGATGGGCATAAAATTAAAATAGTTTTGTTTAATGTCTCATCCAAGGTTGTGAAAATCGGACCGGATAACGAACCGGAAGAAGGAGAGGTTCATGATTCAATTGGTCTAATCGGGGTCGAACCGGATGACTTATTAAATAATAAATAATATTAAAATTTAATGAAATTAACATAATAATAATCTTATCAATCAAAGTATGACACAATAAATTAAACTGAAAAAAATTATTAAACATAAAACTTACATAATTAAGTAAAATAATTATTTTAAAATCTCACATAAAAGACAAAAAAATTGAAATCTCATAATTACAAGAATTTAAACTCATAAAAATATGATAATTTTAAATTTAAATATTTTTCAAATTTTAAATTTGATTTTTAATTTAAATTTAATTTACATATAACCATATAAATTAATATAAATTATTATTAATTTATGTTACATATTTATTATAAATTTAATTCTAACATAAGTTTATAAGTGCATGATGGTGGTTGGAGTAAATCTAATTGATGGTGCAAGCTTAATAAAGCAAGAGAGATCCTTATTTTTTCATCTCTTCCTCCTCCTCCCCTTTGTGAAGAATCAATGTGGACCCATTTGGGTCAAGAGCATGTTGGGAGTATTTTAATGAAGAGTCGATATAAACTCTCTCAATCATTAATCATTTATTGAGCATTTAAGTGTCTTAGTAATGTTAGAATTCGGCCATCTTAGGCTTGTTGGATTCATCTCGCCGAGCCGCTTGATTCTACTATAAGCACGTCACATATGGATACCATTTGGTCATCCACTTAATGCTCTGAAACTTCACAATAGGTTTTGGCCATCAATGTGGACCCATTTGGGTTCGGATTGAACCGATTTTGGTGTCATTGGGTTTGTTTATTTGAGACATTTAGTTTGACTATAAGTTTGCTAAAATTAGAATTCAGAGGATCATAAATTTAGTTTTGAAAGTTTTTTATTCATATTTGAATCGAGATTCCTGCCCAATCTAACCGATTTTTGTGATGCATCAAATACGAACATAAATACCCCTTAAATTTCATGAGCATTCCACAACATGCTCATTCAAGGCTTTCAAAACTTATGGATTAAGAGAATTTCATAATTTTGAATTTCATATTAAGCTCTTATCAATCATGTCCAATCTTCCTTAATATAGCATTTCTACCCTCCCATTGTCTTTAGATCATATCAACCAGAATAACTATTTTTTAACCATCTTTAGCAACTTCCATGATGACTTTACAATGCCACCGTTTTAGACCGTTGGATCAATCAAAAGCTCCTTAAAAATAACACACGTAAGAAACAATAAATAGATTATTTCCCAGCCTCAAACTTCCTGCCATTCATGGCTTCCATTTATTTCTACGAAGAAAAAGGAAAACCATCCTCCACCTCTCATAAAATTAGCATACAAAAGACTGAACCAGATCAGAAAACCCAGAACCAAAGGACTCTCTCTTCCTCTCCATCCTCTCCTTCCTCTCCTTCTTCTTCGTAGAAGCCGCCATGGCCATGGCCTTCAAGCTCAAGACAGCTATAATCCTCATCTTCTCTCTGGCCATGAAACAGACAGAACATTCTGCAGAAGCTTCCACGTCTGTCTTGCCTTGCCTGGAGAGATTCCTTCCATGCCAATATTACATGCATGATTTGAATCCTCCAGACTTCTGCTGCATGCACCTGAAGGGAATGATGGCCTATGATCCTAATTGCATTTGCTCAGTCTTTAGAAATGATAATATCCTACGCGCATTGAACACTACCACGTTAGAAGCTGCAAATCTGACCGCCAATTGTGGACTGATCAAGCCTGACTTCAAGATCTGTGATGGTAAATTAACTAATTACCCCACCAATTTCTTTTCATTAGATTCTAATCATAAATTTTATGATGCTAATTAATTTGAAATATATGTTAATCTGCTTTCTAAAATAGTTTTTTAGTACAATAATTTTTGTGTAATGATTTTTTGTAAAAAAAATTATTGTACGTAGAAAGCTTTAAAAAAGTCGTCCCAAACGAAGGCTTGGTTTGGGACAAGTTTTTCATTGTTTTTTTTAAAAGTATTTTTGTTCAAAAAATTCTAATTCAAGAAAATTTTTTATTAAAAGATTATTTTAAAAAGCATTGAAAAAGTTGTCCCAAACCAAGCTGAAGTCTTAAGCTTTGTTTCAATGTTTGGGATAGTTTATTATAATTTTTAGTTTAGCAAAATTAAAGGAGCAAATAAAAATTATTGTCTGTTTGGATGTTTTTTTTAGAATTTTTTTTTTTTTTTTTCAAAATTTTGTTTTTAAAAATTTATTTTGGGGAAAGCATATTGAAATTATGGTTTGAAATCACGTAGATATTATTGAAAGAAATTTTTTTTTGAAAGTTATTATAAGCATTGCTGATTTTTTCTTTTAAAAAAATATGATAAAATTTTTCTTGTAAATATCATACTCTAATTGTTATGATTTTAAAAAAAAGTCGTCCCAAATGAAGGCTGGTTTGGGACAAGTTTTTCATTGCTTTTTAAAAAAGTATTTTTGCTCAAAAATTTTTAATTCAAAAAAATTTTTTACTAAAAAAATGTGTTAGAAGGCATTGAAAAATCATTTTTTACTTAAAAAAATGTTTTAGAAAGAATTGAAAAAGCTGTCACAAACGAAGCCGAAGTCTTAAGCTTTGTTTCAATGTTCGGGATGGTTTATTATAATTTTTAGTTTAGCAAAAAGGAGCAAATAAAAATTATTGTCTTTTGGATGGTTTTTTTTTTAGAATTTTTTTTTTCAAAATTTTACTTTTAAAAATTTATTTTAGGGAAAGCATATTTGAAATTACGTAGATATTATTGAAAGAAAAAATTTTTTTTTTGAAAGTTATTATAAGCATTGCTGATTTTTTCTTTTAAAAAATATGATAAAATTTTTCTTGTAACTATCATACTCTAATTGTTATGATTTTAAAAAAATCACAAATGTATTTATGATTTATATTGTTCCAAATCTTTTTGATTGATCGTTAAATTTTTCTTTTTACAAAATAACAAATTTAATATGGCAATTTAAACACTCATAAATATTAGTGATTTGTTTATTCAAAATTAAAGTTTCCATTATTGATTTCCAATTATATTATAAATTATTCTTTTTGAAAATCAACCCCTTCATTATGATATTTATACTCACATTTTATGAATTTCTTCAAAAAACATATGAATGATCAAATGCTCATAATTCAATTCAAACAACTTAAACGAAAATAAATTGCTCAAATAAGTCTTAATGATAATTCTTAGGCTTCTTTTGGAACAGTTTTCTTAATGCTTCTTAAAACAACTTTTTAGTACAACAAATAAAAATTTTATACTAAAAAGCTGCTTTAAGAAACAGTAAGAAAGTCATCAAAAAACGAAGTCTTATTTTGATTCACTAAAATTTTAGGCTTCTTTTGGGGCAATTTTCTTACTACTTTCTAAACCAATTTTTTTGTACAATAAATTTTTAAAAAATTTATGTACTAAAATGTTATTTTAGAAAGCAGTGAAAAAGCTATCCTAAATAAAAAACCTAAATCATAAAAGTAAATTATATTTGGTTAAAAATAATCGCTAATTAATACATAATCACTATTAAACCTGCTTTATGCATTAATTATAATTTAATTTAACATTTTATTTTATTTTATTTTGCAGATAAATCGACTAGCAGTATTACTCTTGGAGAAAACTTGAGAAATGCTAATGTTTTCATCTGGGTTTCAATTTCATTATTGATAATGGTTGGATTAATGTAACCTTATTTAACTTTATGATTTTATTTGGGTGAATTCGATTTTTTGTTCTTATTTTTTTATTTTTTAAAAATATGTTTGTTTAATCTTTTTTTTTTGTTGTGTACTTGAGTATTCGCAGCGATAGAAAAATATAAAGTTTAACGTCTTAGCTTTATATGAAGATCCAGCATGTAATCAGATAAAAAGAGAAGATGCAATATTCATAAGAGATACCAAAATTTTTATGTTGAAAACCCCTAAAAAGAGGGAAAAATCATGGGGCCTGGCCCAGTTTGAATGAATCCACAATTATTTGCAGTCGATTACTAATGAGGTCCTTCCTTGGGGGGAAGGCCTTAGCTTGATGTACAAAATATGAAGTACATTACACAGTGGGAATACAATGAATCATTATTGATGCATTTGTTTGGTCAGAAGGATCATAGTTGGTGGCGATGAAGGTTAGAAAGACCGTTGTCTAGCAACGGATGTAGGAAGGACCGTAGTCGGTGGGAGGTGAAGGTCAGAATGATCGTTTCTGGAGATGGAGGTCAGAAGGACCGTAGCCGACCGTAGTCGGCAGGAGACGGAGGTCGGGGGTGATGAAGGTTAGAAGGAACGTAGTCGACAGTGGTCAAAAAGACCATTATCGGAGGACGACGGAGGTCCGTCATCTATTAGAAACCATGCAATAGTACGACATTAATTGGTGGCCAGGTAGAAAAGCTGGCATCAGTTAACGGTCGAGCAGAAGTTCGACATCAGATGGTAGCTGGGTAGAAGTCCAGCGACGGTCGGGCATAAGTTCGACATTAGTTGGTGGCCAGGAAAAAATCCAGTGCTAGTTGGCAGTCGGGTAAAAGTCTAGTGATGGACAAAAGTCCAGCGTAGGATAGAAGTCTAATGAATGTCTGACGACGAGTAGAATTCTGGCGTCGGAAGGAAGTCCGTCGTTGGGTAGAAGTCCGACGAAAGTCTGGTGACTGACAGAAGTCTGGTGTCCGATAGTAATCCAATGAGGGGTAGAAGTCCAGCATTGGGTAGGAATCCGGCGATGTGAGGAAGTCCGATGTTGGGTACAAATCTGAGGACGGGCGGAAGTCCGTTGTCGGGTAGGAATCCGACGACGGGCGGATGCCCGACGTTGGGTAGAAATCTATCGATGGAAAGAAGTCCGATGAAAGTCCGGCGATGGGCAGAAGTCCTACGTCGGGTAGAATCCGGAGACGAGCGGAGGTCCGGCTCCGAGTAGAATTCCGACTTTAGTTGGCGTCCGGGTAGAAATCCAGTGTCAGATGGCATTCGGGTAGAACTCTAACGTCGGTCGGCTGCCGGGTGAAAGTCTGGCGGTGGTCGAGGAGGAGTCTCTTTCTTCTCTTTTTTTTTTTTACTTTGGCCTCATTCTTCTCACCCCTCCCCCTTTGGGGGCCCCTCTCTATGAGAAATGAGGTGTTTATTTATAATTTTCTAAGAGTGGCATGACTAGTAAATATGAGGAAGATCAAGGGTAAACTGAGAGTGATTTAAATGGACGATCGATATTGATTTCCTTGATTGTGGATTGTTTATTGGGCATTTGAAGGCCCTAATGATATCATATTTCGAAGAACTTAGACTCGTAGGATTAGTCTCATCGAGCCGCTCGATTCGACTATAAGTTTGCCATATTTGAAAATTGTTTGGTAATTCAAATTATGGATTGAACCTTCCAAACGTGCTTTGGGTATTTGATTTGGACTTATTTGGGCTCTGATTGAGTTGAATTTAGTGTCGTTGGGTCTGTATTTCCGAATTGTTCAGTTTGGCTGCAAGTTTGTTGAAATCAGAGTTCAAATGACCTCTAAATTAATTTTTTAAATTTCCCACTTGATTATGCTTCAACATTCGTGGTCTATCCATTCAATTTTTTTTGACGATATATGAATTTTAAAAATAAACTAAATTATTTTTAAAAATACTCAAAATAATTTTTAAATATTTCAAAAAAAAAAGTATCAATGTTGGCCAATGTCATAAAATAAAAATTATACATTTTTAAAATATCAAATATATATTATTTATATCTAAATATTTTATGTAATGATTTCTTTCTCTATTTTTCATTTTTATTATAATAATTTACTTAAATGATAATCTTTTTCTTTTCATAATAAAACTGAGATGTTCATACTCAGTCAAATAAGGCTCTGATCTCGATTAATTAAGATCGAGCTCGAGCTCAAACGTCAATTAAAATATTAGGATTAGAACATTTAGGAATGTTGACGAGATTTATGTCAAATTCATTGAACACAACAACGACAATAGCCTGATCTATAATTTA